GTTCACAGCTATAGAAATCAGAGACTGGATGAAATTAAGCTAAACACTTGAATTTCCTCAGTCTTGCCTTCCACTTCCAGAACAGGCTCTTAAGCCATAATCCCAGTTGGAGTAAGTGTATATGAGAAGGGTGGATCATAGGGCTTTTCAGATGGATTTGGTATTCTGTTCTAGAGATTGAAAACGTGTGTTTTAAGATATGCTATGGTTCTGGATGGTAAAAAGGAATTCATCCTGCCCTTTAAGGACCACTGGCTTCAAAGATACTGGAAACGTTGCCTCTCTACCAAGTTTAGTCCAGAACACATCAAACCTTCCCTGGCTCTTTCTCCTACAGCCTTGAGTAGGGACCATTGCCCATTGTTTTAACGTGACTGTAGCAAGACAGTCCACCAGCTGACTCAGGCCTCCAAAATCCTGCCATGTATAGATTTTGTACGGCCCGAAAAAGTCATGCTTTACCATTTTGACTATCTCACTCCCACTCAAGAATCTACCCTGACTCCCTATTACCTCCAGCATAAAATAGAAACCCCTCGACTCAGCATTGAAAGCCTTTCAAAGCCTGGTTCCAGCCTACCTTTCCAGATTATTCCTCTGCACATGTTCTACCTTCCAGAAAAACTTGCCTCTTGGCCATTTCTCAAACCTTTTTCTGCCTTGGCACCTTTGTGTGAACTGCCCCCCATGCCTGGAATCCATACTCTTCTCTCTAGATCTAGAGCTTCCTTCAAGTCTCAACCCACTGCTACTAGGAGGCTTTTTAAAATTTCCTCTAGTTACTATTCCTCTCTCCCATCTCAAATCACCACGTTTGTACTTATCTATGAAACCTCCCCTTCCTCCCTGAACCATAAGTTTCTTGAAGGTAGGGATTGTATCATCTTTGTAACCCTAATACTCGGCATTTTGCAATATTCATTGCTGCATGGCAACTCTTATCTGGCCAAAACTAATAGCAAACATCAGAGAGGTCACCATAGGCAGGCAGACACCAGGTTAGTCAACCAGCATTTATGAAGTGACTACTGTATGCCAGGCATTTTGCTAAGCACTAGGGAAACAAAAAAAAAAAAGAAGGCAGAAAGAGTCTCTGCTCTCAAGGAACTTATAATCTAATGGACCAACTGGGGTCTGCCAAGGTGAGCTGGAACCTTAAAAATAATGACTTTGGAAAGAGGTGGTATTAAATGGAGTTTTTCTCATCAGGAAATCCAGTGTGGGGCATAAGGTGGGACCTGGGAAGGAAGCAAGGAAGAGATGGGCGGGCCCCCAACATTCCCAGAAGTCCAGCATTAGGTGAAGCAAGCCATAATTCAGCTGACGCTAATTAACACTAATCTGTCTCCCTCATCCCTTTGGGCTCCCAGCCCATCCACACTCACAGCATCTCGCCTCCTGATCCAGCTGGCAACCTTCTCTGCTCACATTAGCAGATGCCACAGGGAAACTGTTGAAGCAGCCAGACGAGGCTTGCGCTCAGATTTTCTAGCCAGCCAGAGGGCAGAGAAGGAGGGGACAGGAAAGGCAAGCCGGCATCCCAAGAACTGATATGGTGTGTCCAGCAAGGGCTGGTACCCCACTTGACTTCCTTCCTTCCTTCCTTCCTTCCTTGAGATACTTCAACCCAGGCCCTCACATGGTATACACAGCTGACCCTAAGATTTGGCTAATGCAAAAAGAAAACTTTATTAACAGGTAGATACAAGTATCTCTGTCTCGCTCTTTAAAAGTAAAAAGAAATTCCATTCATTTCAAAATCAAGTTCCCTCTGTTAAGAATCCCATCCTGGGCCAATTAACCTCTTGCACCTATTTCCTCTTCCTGCTGGCTGGCTTGGATGAAGAACCTGTGGGGCTTCTCCCAGTTTTCTTGAATCCTTTAGAGGCCTCAGGTTTCTTTCCCTTGCCGTCTGGCTGATCTTTGACCATGTCTGACTCCCTAGACACCTTAGATTGGGAGGCAGAAGATTTCATGCCCGTGTCCAACTTGCTCCTGTTCTGAGTAACTGTCTTTGGCTCATCGCCGCCCTCCTTAGCTCCCCCAGTTCTTCTAGCTTTGGACACGGTAGCTGCCCCTTTGGATTTTGCTTGCATGTCAGGTGATCCCTTTTGCTTTCTGGTCTTGGGGGGGTGCTTCTGAGGTTGCCCGGAGTTTGGTTTTTCCTGCTTTATGTTCCTCTACTGCTTTCTTAGGTGAAATGGGGACTTTTTTCTTGCCCTACGTAAGAGAGAAGGGAAAAAAAAGATAATGATTAGTTAGGAGAAGCAAGAGAAGCAAAAATGAGCATTTATTAAGCACTTACTGCATGCTAGGAACTGGGTTAAGAGCAAGAACCATGAGAGCCTAATGGGATGGGACCAGGAACAAGGTTTTCTGAAGCCAATAGGTTCGTTTTCCTACCTTGGAACTTTGAAACAGGAGGAATTTAACCTTTGTCCTGGGTTGTAAAAACGCGCATTTTTGGAAATTACACAATCAAACATTTCCTGCCTCATTTGCAGTTTAGGAATGAGGTTCATACTTCAGGACTCAGCAGGAGGCTGGGTCTGTTCCAACATTCCTCACACTCAGTCCCATGTAGACATTACCAGACAGAGCTGGAGGTTCTGATGGATCTTTCTGTTTTTGAGGGAAGGGATGGGCAAAGAGAGAAGGAAGAAGGGGATGCAAAGGGGGGGGGGGTCCAATCCCTGCAGTTCAAACCAGCTTAGGTAAGGCCTTTTCTTGAATCCTTTAGAGGCCTCAGGTTTCTTTCCCTTGCCGTTTGGCTGATCTTTGACCATGTCTGACTCCCTAGACACCTTAGATTGGGAGGTAGAAGGCTTGATGCTCACATCCAACTTGCCCTCGTTCTGAGCAGCTATCTTTGATTCATCACTGCCCTTCTTAGCTCCCCCAGATGGAAGATGAAAGATGGGACTCTTCTCTACTTACTTTGGAAATTTCAGCCTTTGGTTTCATGCCCCTGGCTTTGGCTCTCACCTCCTCCACATCTGTTGGAAAGAATAAAAAATTGAGAAGCAACTTTTGCCCCAAGAGATAATATCTTTCTTGTGCTCTAAAGGGACATAGGATGAACTGCTTCCCAAGTCCACTGGAGGAATGAACCAGAGACTTCACTCAACTAAGAAGCTGTGGCTAGGGAAATGTTGATGGGGCTCAGACATGGATACTGTGCCTGAGCTAAGACTAGCTGGACACTGACAGAACCTGAAGTCAATGGTATGGCCAATCTGTAGTCTTCTCCCTTGGCAGGGAATGTTTCATTGTCTTTATATCCTAGCAACTAGCACAGGGTCCTGTATACAATAGGCATGTAATAAATGTTTGTTGATTGATTGTTGATCTCCTAAAGGAAGTCTTTTCCTGATCCCCTCAATTATTTCTACTGTGTCATCCCACCTCAAAGTATCACATGGATATTTATCTGTTTACGCAAACCATATAAGTTCCTTGAAATCAGGTACTGTTTTTCCCTTTGGGTTTTGTGTTGCTAAGACCCAGCACTGGGTAAACATTTAATAAATAGTAAACATTTAATAAATGCTTGTTGAATCAAAAATTGTAAAGGGAAGGGTTATTAGAGAGGAGGAAGGGAAGAATATAGAACGTTTTAGCTGAAAGGGACCTTAGAATTCCTACATGATTCTAAAGTCCTTATCTAAAGGGCTGAAGCAACCAAGGCACAGAAAGGAAATTACTTCAGCAAGGAGAGTCAGGAATAGAATGGTCTCCAGGCTTCCAGATCAGTGATTTTTCTATTACATCATGTTGTCTCCTACTAGTAACAGTCAAGAATTGGGGAACAGATCTCTATCTCCCTCTATCAACTATATTAGAGATGTCAATCATATGGAGAGAGAGAAATGGTGGATAGAGTGGAAGAGATATGGAAGATGGAGTGTGCACCCATGCATGCTAAGCACGCATGGGTGACGTGCAAAGTTTGTTAGCTAAGATGTTTTCTACATTCATGGAGCTTATACTCATCTAAGAGATAGGACACCCACAACCAGAAAACAAGGAAGGAGAAAGACATAAAAGCTACTTATTTTGGCTTACCTTCTTTGGACTACCTCCCATTGTACTACAACTTTTCCATAGAATCACTCAGGATTCCAAGTGTGATTGTGCCAAGTGTTATATGCAGGTGAGAAGACTAATCATCATTTTCCATTAACCTTCTTGAGGCTGCCTAGGATCTTGCTGGTCTATCTATACTACCACATTGTGCCAATGTATTTAGGGAGTGACCTATGGCAACTCATGACCATGATAGGGATCCTGAGGTCTCTTTCTTGAGTTTTAACAGAACTCGAGGCTGTTCATCTTAGTATTCGATCTCTGATTATGTTTTCCTTATGCTTGTCTGCATAAATGTATTAGACACTTTTTAGCCTATTCACAGGTTCAAGGAATTATCTAATAATTTGTATCTATCTGTTGGCTTTTTGCCACCAGAAATAAAATATCTTAGTGGTCCCCAAATAGTTTCTCATTGATAGGGAGCCACTACCATGTCCTAACTTCCCAAGAGGGGATTAACAATTAAAATTAAAAGTAGGGGGAAGGAAGACGTAGGAGCAGACTATCAACTGTTACTTGAAATGCTGCTAAAGCTTGGGGGGAGGGGTGCATAGGAACAGCATGGCAGTCACTAACAGTCACAACTCCTTCCCTACATGCCACTGCTTCAACCTCCCAGATTAGACTACTGATACTCCCTGCTGATCACCTATCACAAAGCTTCAGGCAAGGATCAGGAGAGCTCTTCACCATGAGTTGGGGAACCCTAGGCAGCGCTCACTAAACCCCCTCAGATGACCTACCTTTTTTGTCTCTAGCCCCTTTTGGTTTTGAGACCTCCTTGGACATCCCCACTTTGGTAACTTTCTTAGCCTCCTCAGGAGGTTTCTTCTTGGTTGAAGCCTTCACCGGAACTTTCTTCACAGTTGCAGGAGCCTTTCTCTTGGTTGAAGCTTCTGAAGGAACCTTCCTCTTGGTTGAAGCCTCTGTGGGCACCGTCTTCTTGGTTGCAGGAATCTTCCTCTTGGTTGAGGCCTCTACGGGCACCTTCTTCTTGGTTGCAGGAGCCTTTCTCATAGGCAAAGCCTCAGTGGGCACCTTCTTCTTGCTTGCAGGAACCTTCCTCTTGGTTGAAGCCTCTGTGGGCACCGTCTTCTTGGTTGCAGGAGCCTTCCTCTTAGTTGAAGCCTCAGTGGGTACCTTCTTCTTGCTTGCAGGAACCTTTCTCTTGGTTGAAGGCTCTGAAGAAACCTTTCTAGCTTCACTGGTTCTAGCAGCCTTCTTTTTCCTAGGTTTGACAGCTGCTGTTGATTTTTTAGTTTGGGTCACTTTGGTTTTATTCTTGGATACTAACTGCAGAAGTAATTCAATAGGTTAGCAGCAGTCAGAAGAGCTCAGAAAACCCCCACGTACCCAACAGAATTACCTATCAGATAAAAATCTCATTTATTTTGATGTGGAAAATTCAGAGCTCAAACCCTAGAAGCTAGAATTTTAGGACCAGGAGACCATCCAGTCCAATTCCTTATTATAGTTGAGGAAACTGTGACCCAGAGAAGTATGAAGATTTGTTCATAGCTATAGTAAGTAGGACAGCTGGACTTTACAATCTTGGTACTCTGACTTCCAATACCCCTAGCATGGTATCTTTCTTAGGTTGGTTTTTGTTTCGTATCAGCCCTAATGGCACTGGAGTATACACGAGGGTGGTCCTCAACAAAGTGACTAGCCTGGCAAAGCATATCTCTGGTTCCCTATTGTTTTGCTATCCTAACATGCATCTCCAACTCCTGAACATAGATGATATCAAGATAGCTTAGTGGAAAGAATCCAGGATTTAGAGTCAGTAGACCTGGGTTCCATTCCCATATCTGGCACTTCTGTGTGACCCTGGGCAGCTTATTCCATGTCTGTCTTCAGCCCAGGTCTCTAGACTTCCATTTCCTCATCTGCTAAAAGGAGACTGAGGGGCAGGAAAGTTCTGAGATAATGTGTACAAAAACACTTTGTCAATTGACAAATACTATGTGTCGGTTATTTGCAGTTATTCTCAGACCTCAGGAGACTAATTTTAATTTTATTTTTTCTTTTGGCAGAATAGGAGAATGCTATCAATATGGTTTATCTAGATTGGAGCATGACATCTGATAATAAAGTCTTGCATAATACTCCAAGAAAAAAAGATGGAGATAACTAGAAGTTTAGAAGGTAATCAGTTTGATTCAAAACTGGTGGAGTGGTCCCTGGTCATGGATGACTGTGTGTCAACTTGGAGGTAGGTCTTTCATGAGTGCCTCAGGAATCAGCACCTGGCCTTGTGCTATTTAATGTCCATCAAAAATGTAGGTTAAGGCATATTTTGTGTTATGGTCAAATGTATAGACATCACAAAGATGGGAGGGATCCCAAGCATGCTAGATGACAGAAGCTGCATCCAAAAGAAAATCTGGACCAGCAAGAATGTCAGGCTGAAATGAATAAGGTGAAATTTGATAAGAAAATGTGGCAGCTCAGTGGTGCTGTGGATAGAGTACCAGGCCTGGAGTCAAGAAGTCTCATTTCCCCAAGTTCAAATTTGGCCTCAGATACCAGGTATGCAATCCTGAGCAAGTCACTTAACTCTGTTTGCCTCAGTTTCCTTATCTGTTAAATGAGCTGGACAAGGAAATGGCAGACCTCTCCAGTCTCTTTGCCAAGTAAACCCCAAATGAAGTCAAGAAGAATTGGACATGACAAAGGAATATAAGATTCAACTTCATAAGAATGGGATGGAGGAGGTGTAGCTGGACAGTAACCCAGCTTAAAAGGGCCATGGGAGGCTAGTGTGCTCTAAGTTTGATGTGAATCAATGCGATATGATGATGGAGACAGCTAAGCAATGTTTCCAGAGGCAATAGTTCCCCTGTAACCTTTCCTGGTCAGGCCACATTTAGAGTATGGAATTCAGCTTTGGATACATCTTAGGAAAGATACTGATGAGCTGAAGGGCTTATCAATGAAAGCAAGCAGGGTGGGGACAGGATTCAAGTCCATGCCTTATACAGATCAAATGGTGCAATTTGGAACACTTAGCTTGGAGAGGACTGGGGCAAGGGAAGAAGATAGGGGCTGTCACATGGAAGAGGACTCAAACTTGGTCTATTTGACCCCAGAAGACAGAATCTAGAGTAATGCATAGAAGAAGCAGAAAGGTAGATTTAGGCTTCATCTTAGGAAAAATTCTTACTCATTAGAGCTACCCAAAGATGGAATGGGCTTTCTTGGAAAGTGTTAGTATGACATAAAGGGGATTCTTTTGGCATGGGCTGGACTAGAATCTCCTTTTCTAAAAGTCTCTTCTAACTCAGTTTCTGGGATCAGTAGCAGTATTGCCTGAAAATGCTAAAATATTAGCTGAAAATGGCTTATAGCATTTTTCTTCCCAATAAAATGTTCATAGAAGACAGAGGTCTAATGGTAGACTTTCAGATACTAGGACAAGTAGTAGCTGGAGAGAGATTTTTAGATGAGGGGGGAATGGAAGGGAGGGAACAGGAATCTACTTGTTATCCCTTGATCAAACCATGAAGGGAGCCCCAAGTTCCTAAAGCCAGCCCTGAGGGTGCCCCTTCCCTCCTCTCCATTCAGTGAGACAGAGAATACAGATAGCAGTTGCCTTTTACAGAAAGTAAAGCATTTTGATTGCTGGTATCATCTCACCAGAATCCAGGCATGGGTACAGCATGTATGTCCCATAGCTCCCCCCTTTTCCCATGACTCCTGGCACAGATTACCATCCCCACTTCTACCCCCTACCTTCACCCCATCCCAGGGGCTGGGGGTATTTTGAAATGTTTCCAAGGATCAAAAGAAATCTTATCACATGATAGACAATAAGTGTAAAGCTCTCAGCAAGCCTCAAAGCACATATATATATATATATATATATATATATATATATATATATATCAGTTAAGACTATCTGAAGAATACCCACTCTAGAGTTCCCCATAACCTACCAGTGTCAGAGACCACCAGATCTGGTCAAGGGCATAGCTGAGCAGCCATGGAAGAGATACACACTCTATGCCAGGATGCCCTTCTATAATATCCCTGACAGATGGTCATCCAAACTCTTTGGATGGCATCACAAATGAAGGTGGCTCATTTCATCCTAAGACAATTCTTCTGTTGGTCATAGGACCCTAGGTCTAGGGCTACAAGAGGCAACAGGGGTCATCTACTCCAATCCCGTCACTTTACAGACGAGGAAACTGGAGCTCAGGAAAGTTCATCGACTTTGCTGAAGGTCACACAAGTAGTGTCAGAGGTCATTTGAACCTGGGTCCTCCTGATCTGAGGCCAGTGCTCCTTCTCAACTGCCCTTCAGTTGGTGAGCAAGTCTTGTTGCTAGAAAGTTCTTCCTTTATCTTGAGCCAAAACCTGCCTCCCTGTAATTTATATTAATCATAGGTCTGCCCTCTGGAACCCTAGAAAATCTGATTTAAAACTGGAAGAAACCAGTTTACATGGGGAAGAGGGAATCATGTACCTAAGAAGTACCTCAGCCTCAGTTTCTTCATCTGTCAAATGGGGGCACTGGACTAGATGGCCTCCGAGATCCCTTCCAGCTTGGCCTTTATGCCATCTTATCTCCTCCTAGTCACCCAGGAAACTCCTGGGGGACAGGTACACTTTTTAACACTCCTCTTTCAGCACATGCTGACAGAGTGGCAGAGATGGAGGACTCGCCCTCCAGAGGAAGGGGACAAAGGCATGAGCCTTGTGGGATTTGGAGCTGCCAGGGAAACAGCCCACCTCTTCACAGAGAGGAAAGCTAGAGGCCAGAGAAGAGAAGAAACTTACTTTGAATCTTCCCCTGGCCCCAGTAACAGTAGAATTGCGAGGTCTCACGAGCATCCCATCACTAATACCCTTGGCCAGGGCTTGTTTCAGCAAGTATCTGAGTCTCTTCATATCGACCGCTGGGTACTTTCGTCGAATATAGAACTTGATAGCTGCTACAGAGGTACCATGTTTGTCCTCTTTGGCCTTCAGGGCTTCCGCCACCATTTGGATCATGGGTGGGTGACTCTGAAATTTTGGTTGCACACTGATGTCTGCTTAAAAAGGGAAGGAAGAAGAGAGAATTGAGGGGCAGCAAGGTGGCGCAGGGGTTAGAGAACTAGCCCTGAAGTCAGGGGGACCCGAGTTCAGATCCAGTCTCGGACCAAACACTTGACACTTACTAGTTGTGTGACCCTAGGCAAGTCACTTAACCCCAATTGTTTTTTAAAGAAGAGAGCGAGAGCGAGAATTGAAAGGTGAAGATTGGACTGGGCAACTCCTCTCCTCAGCCGACTCCTGAGTCTCCCTATTGTTTCTAGGATCAACTTAGCAACTGCTTTGTTTAGCTTTTAAAGCCCTACACAACCTGACCCCAACCTATCCTTTAGCCTTGGTGAACCTAAGGCCTCCTCTATCCCACACTGTGATCTTAGCCTCTCTTCACTCCTCCCACTCCATACAACATCTGCTGCCTCCACAGCTGCCTTTGCGTTCATCATCTATCAGTCCATAGAGATGTTAAATAGATATTCCTTCTGACTGATTGTCTAGGGCTCATTAAGAACCTCTGGAGAGTTACTGAGCCAGCTCTACATATTTAACAAGCAGTGAAAGGCTTCACCTGTCCAAGTCTCCCCTGCTTGCCAACACCCCAGTCCAATGCTCTTGTCATCTTATTACTCCACCTAGTTTGTAAACTCCTGGAAGGCAGGGACAGTTTCAAATATTCCTGTTGAATACCACATAGGGCTGGGCACACAGTAGGCACCCAATAATTAGAGCCGTAGAATCCCAAAGTATATAGGCATGAAGGGACCTTTAAAATCATCCCCTATCCTTGCTTCCTTTGACAGGTGGGGAAACTGAGGCACAGAGAGAAGAATTGATTTTCGTAAGTTTACGTAACAAGTTAGAGAGGACTGTCAATTTAGAGTTATTCCCAACCCTGGGAATAACCCCCTGGGGAATAGCCACCTGGGGAGATAAGGTTGGACAGAGAAGGTCAGGACTCCCTCTGAAGGGAGAAGACTGGTCCAACTATGTATGGCCCCAGTCCCGGGAGTTGTTCCTAAGAGGTTCCCCAACCCAGCCTCAATCACTGCTATTCTCGAAAGTCTTCTTTTCCAAAAGCCTGCAGTATGAAGGGTCTCCTCAGAGATTTATTTCCCTCTATGGTTTCTGCTGTGTAGTATCATGGAAAGAACTCAGGTCCTAGCTCCAACACTTCCTGTGTGACCTTGAACAAATCATTAAGCCTCCTCATCTGTAACATGGGGATAATAGTAACAACCCTTGGAATTTTTGAGAGTGATTGTTTTATTTGTACTAACATCCCCAGAGCCTAGCACATAGTAGGTGCTTAACGCTTGTTGATTCATTGACTGATCTAGTCCTTGGGGTCGTGGTGAGGGAAGCACATTTTAAACCTGCCACCATTTTATAATGGGAGATAATTTGCCAGGGTTCGGGTGGACAACAGGCCCACTTGTCATATCCCCCAGTTCTCTCTTTTTTTTTTTGCTAGTGTTCAACCCCAAGTGGAGGCAGGGAAGGATCGGTGGAAATGATGACCAGCCAGGGTGGGAGAGAAGATTATAGGATTCCAGATCTAAAGCTGGAAAGAACCTCAGACTCACCTCATTTTACAGATGAAGAAACTGAGGCCCAGGGAAGTTTGATGACCAGAAGTAGGAGGTGGGTATATGCTCATACCCAGGTGCATGGCTACATCTAAGTCCAAGTGCCCTTTCCTCTCTACTGGCCCTAGTCACCTTTGAAAGATGGTATGGAAGGAGATTAATGGTCTAGGGCTGTGGGGGTAGAATTATGTTCTAGAGTACAGTTGAAAGAGTACTTATCTTGAAGCCAAGTTCTGGGTTTGGGTCATGGACCTAGTGGCAACTACCTGTGTGATCTTGACAAAGTTTGTCCCTTCCCTACTTTGGACCTCCATATTGTGCTCTATATAATGACAGAGGCTAGAGTATATTGGGGTTGGGGGGTCATGTAGGTGGCTCAGTGGATAGAATACTAGGCCTGGAGTCAGGAAGACTCATCTTCCTGAGTTCAAATCCTGCTGCAGACACTTAACTAGCTGTGTGACTCTGGGCAAGTCACTTAACCCTGTTTGCCTCACTTTCCTCATCTGTAAAGTGAGCTCGAGAAGGAAATGGCAAACCACTCCAGTATCTCTGCCAAGAAAACCCCAAATTGGGGTTATGAAGAGTCAGACACAACTGAAAAATGACTGAACGACAACAAAAAATATATAGTTATATGCAAAGTATGGTATGGTCTGGGCAGTTAGACTCCCCATGATCCCAGCCATCCAGAATACAGCTCTAAGTACAAAAGTAAGTGAAAAATACCCCCTCCCCAAGTGGCAGATGGCTCACAAAGCCCTTGGATTGTATTCTATATAAGAGCAGGAACAATCCCAAATCAATTTTATGTCAAATAAAACAGTATTAGCTTCTACAACACACACACACACACACACACACACACACACACACACACACACACACACACACACACACACACACATATATCCACACACACAGATATCTATAAAGATATATATAGGGGCAGGTCAGTGGTGCAATGGATAGAGCACCAGACCTGGATTCAGGAGGACATGAGTTCAGAATCTAGCCTCAGACACATAACACTTACTAGCTGTTGTGACCCTGGGCAAGTCACTTAACCCCATTGCCTAACCAAAAAAAAAAAACTAACCAAAGACAATAAAGATATAGATATAGATATCTATGTATCTACATCTATAGATACATCTATAATGTATGTGTATAATATGTATATATAGGCAACAGCAGACAGAAACCAGAGAATTTATGCTACAAAAGCACCCCGACTTTAGGCCATTTAGTGTAGGGGCAAGCTGTCCTACACACTTGCATACCCAGCTAAGAAGTGGATCACTGTCTAATCCCTCAGTCCAATTAGTGAGGAGCATAATGACCCAAAGGTGGTTAAGTGCCTAGAACATAATAGGATTGTTGAATTGAAAAGAGATGAAATTTAAAGAGAACTGACTTACAGTCAAGCAGAAGGATAAAATACAAACACAGGTAAAGCTGTAATAATACATAATCATTAAAAAGGATGACGTTGAAGTTTGGGTGTATAGATGGCTAAGGTTTAGGTGGAAGGCTTATAGGCTTAGAGCTCGAAGGGGTCTTCGAGGTCATCTGGGCCAACGCTCTCATTTTACAGATATGGAAACTGAGGCCCAGAGGGCTCATGTGACTTGCCCAAAGTCATGTAGCATGACAGAGTAAGGGTTTGAACCCAGGTCTTCTGACCTCAAATCCCATTCCCTTTTCTCCATACCATACTTCTCACTGTATAATGCCAGCCTGATTAAGATGTCTCCCCCATGGCATTTCTTGGTGAATGCATGCCGCTCAGTACTGTGAAGGGAGACAGTGTGGTATGGTAGAAAGCGCACTGGATGAGGAATCAGGAATCCTGAGTTCTCATCCCAGACCTGCCAGCTAAGTCATTGTGCATACAGTATACCTCTCGGAGCCTCATCTCCTTCTTTGAAAAGTGAGGGAGGTAGAAAAATGTTCCACTGATTAGTGTTATATCCTTCCAGATACAGAATCATACAATGTCAGAGCTAGAAGGAGCCATCCAATCCAAGGGCGCTGATTCTGGGGTCTGTAAACTTGGTTTTAAAATAGATGTAGAGAAATAGATTGTAAACTTGGTTTTATATATATATATATATATATATATAGGGGATATATAGGTATATGTGTGTGCACATATGTACATATGTGTGTATATATGTATGTGTACGTGTATACATATACATATACATATATACATACACACATAAATACACACATATCTTCCTGAGTTCAAATCCGGCCTCAGATACTTACTAGCTGTGTGACCCTGGGCAAGTCACTTAACCCTGTTTGTTTCAATTTCCCCATCTATAAAATGAGCTGGAGAAGGAAATGGCAAAACATTCTAGTATCTTTGCCAAGAAAACTCCAAATGGGGTTACGAAGAGTCAGATATGACTGAAAAACAACTGATACTCTTTATCTCAAAGCTCCCTTCAAGTCCAAATTCCCCTGATCTCATAGCACTTAGGCCTTTACTGTAGGCCCTCACATTCATCTGTAACCATGTCTGATCATCCCACTAGAGTGTGGACATTTCCTGTTTAGCTTTACATCTGCCGCAGTGTTAATGACTGGATGAAGATGGAAGTAGATGGGAGGTCCCCAAAACAAAACCTGCATGAGTTGTACAGGGCCCCTAACTTTGTATAAGGAAGGGCTCAGGGAAGGCAATGCTGTTGGGAGGAGAAGTCTTAGGGCTGAAGGAGAGGCCTAGGATCTGGAGAGGATGGCCACCATATCCCCCAGGCTGAATTGGAACCCTTCCCTAGCTGGGGCCCACCTCCCAGCCATCTCCTCACCCAGCTGCCTGCTCTGGGCTTCATCCTCAGCTCTCCCTCTACTTCCTGCCTCAACCGTGGACTCGGCCCCAGGATTCTGGGCTGCGTAAGTGAACTATGGGTTCTCTGACTCGCTTGTACTTGTATTCACAGGGCCAAGCACAGTGCCTGGCACATAACAAGAGCTTCATAAAGGTTTTATTATCTATCAATTGATCTAGAGGACAGAGACCATACCTTCTACTTCTCTTATATCCTCAATACACCCCAGGAAAGGCAATAATGACAATAAATGAAAATTAAGTAGTGCTTTCAAATCTGGAAAGTGCCTTACATGTATTCAAACCTCAGAAACTGGGGAGATTATTATAGATACCATTATCCATATTTTTACAGATGAAGAAACTGAGGTGCTGAGTCAATCAACAAGCATTTATTTAGCACTTACTGTGTTCCAGGCACTGTGCTAAATGCTGGGTATTCAAAGAAAGGCCAAAATACAGTTCCTGCCCTCAAGGAGCTCACAGTCTAATGGGGGAGACAATTTGCACACAACTATGGATATACAAGATACATGCAGAGTAGATGGAGGGTAATCCCAGAGAAAAGGAGCTAACAGTTGTAGGGAGGAGGAGGTAGAGAGAGACCTGGAAAAGCCTCTTAAAGAGAGGGGGATTTTGACCTGTCTTGGAGGAAGCTAGGAAGCAGAGGTGAGGAGGTAGGGCATTCCTGGCATGAGGCACAGCCAGTGAAAATGCCTGGAGGCAGGAGATGGAGGGTCATGTATGAGGAATGTATTCTGATGACCCAGCCTAGCCGGAGGGCCTGATAGCAGGGGCACCGGTAGGACCCTCAATTCAAAGGGAAGGGAGGGAGAGAGAGAGAAAGAGAGAAAGAAAGGGGGGTGAGAAAAAGAAGGGATGGGGAGGGAGAGAAGGAGAGAAAGCATTAAGAAGGGCATGAAGGAAGAGGTTGGGCTCCAGGACCCTGACAGCCTTCACTGCTCCAAACCCAAAATAAGAGCAGACTCGGGGGAACTGCCTTCCACCTTTCCCTCCTCGGCCCTCTCTCCTTACCTGGCTTCTCAGGCTCACCGGTAGCAGCCACATCCTGGCTGAAAGTATAAGGACCAACAGGCGGAGATGGAACCACATTGGAAACGTGAGTGGCATTGGGGGAGTTGTCCCAAGTCATATTCAGTCTGACATTGTCGTCGCTGGAGCAAGGCAGTTGCAAATTTTGAGTTTCATCATCAGAAGACATTCTGAAACCCCAGAACAGCCGGGGGACCCCTTGAGAGGAGTAACAACAGACCTACCCAACCCCCAAGCAAGCCCAGGCAGCCCCACCCCCACCCCCGCCAGTCTTGATATAGCAGAGCCTGATCCAGGTGTCCCCACCTGGGGCTAATTAACCTCCTGATTTAACAGGTGGCAATGAGTGGGACTGCTCTGGACTGACTTTCTGAAGAGCACCCAGTACATGGCAGTCGGAATGGTGAAGGAAGGCCTTCAGCTCCATGCCACGGGAGGACCCAGCTGAAGAAACTACGGATGGTACCAGAAGAAGCGGAGAGTAAGGGAAGAGTGTGAGAAGCACGACAGAGAGCTCTGCCTTCAATAATTAGTCAACAATATTTATTAAGCACTTATTAGGTGCCAGGCACCCTTGCTAAGTGCTGAGGATGCAAAAGTAAAAAAACAAAAAACCAAAAAAAAACCAGTTCCTACTGTCAAAAAGTCCATAATCTATTGGGGGAAACAACGTGCAAACAATTACAAACAAGATACAGACGGGATAAATTGAGGATTACCAACAGAGGGAAGGCACTAACACTAAGGGTGACCAGGAAAGGCTTCCTGTAGGAGGTGGGATTTTAGCTAGGACCTGAAAGAAACCAGAGAATCCAGGAGACAGAGATGGGAAGGGAAAGCGTTTCAGGCATGGGACGCAGCCGATGAAAATGCCTAGAGTCTGGAAATGGCATGTGAGTGTGTGAGAGTGGTGTAAGGAGACCAGAAAGGTGGGAGAGGCTGAGCTATGAAGAGCTTTGGAAGACAAACAGAGGTAATAGGGAGTCACTGAGATTTATTGAGCTGGGGAGCAGGGTGTGACATGGTCAGACCAGAACCTTTTTTTTTTCTCTTTTGAAATATTTTAAGTGATGACCCTGTGGAAGAGGGATTAGACTAGGTGCTAGGATGCCCATTTAATTATTATTCTGAGGATTGGAGTTGCCCAAAATCAGAATGCATGCCTAAGGAGGTGGCAGGCATCATCAGAGGCATTCAGGCAAAGTCCCAGAGGGACCTTCTAATTCTGAGATTCTGTGATTCTGCTCCAAGAGAGAAATGCTTTTAGTACAAGGATTGTTCAGATACTGAGAGAGAGAGAGAGAGAGAGAGAGAGAGAGAGGAGAGAGAGAGAGAGAGAGAGACAGAGACAGAGACAGAGAGAGACAGAGACAGAGAGAGACAGAGAGAGCCCTAGCCAAGTGGTTGTAGGGTCTTGAATGAGTCACCCTTCCTTGGACTTTGGCTTCCTTATCAGTGAAAGGGAGACAAACTCTGGAATCCCAGCCACCTCCCCAGAGTCTTCTCAATGAACATCTTGCCTCTTCTCTAAAGAGAAAAGTCCTGCGGAGGGTTACCCCTTCCCAGGGGAAACTGAATTTTGAATGAACGTCATGTAAGAGACCTGACAGAAAGAGTAAGAGGGATGGACCTCAGAGAGGCAGCTGAAGCACAAGGCGGGCTGAAACTTGGGCTCAGTGACCAGCCTGCCTGCTCGCTGTCTGTGTAGTATTTTCTCAAAGCCTCAGTTTCCTTATTTATAAGATGACAGGGATGGAGTAACTGACTTATAAGGACACAGCCTCTAAATCTATAACCAAACTCTGACATTACCAGATCTCAAACTATAGTGTAAAATAGTGATTATCAAAATTACTTGATGAAGTGAGGTTGGCATAGTAGATAGAGTGTGGGAACTGGGAAGACCTGAGTTCAAATCCAGCCTTAGACACTTACTACCTATGTGACTCTGGACAAATCACTTAATATGATATTAATAATATTAATGCTAATATTGTTACTACTTAATAATAACTATGATAATAAAAGCTAACACTTATAAAACACCTACTATGTGCTAGGCACTATGCTAAGTGCTTTACAATTATACTCTCCTTTGATCCTCACAACCCTGGGAAGTGGGTACTATTATTATTCCCATTTTATAGACAAGGAAACTAAGGCAAGCAGAGGTTAAGTGACTTGTCCAGGGTCACACAACCTTGATTTGCCTCAGTTTCCTCATCTGTAAAATTAAAGTCCAAGGTCTCTTCTGGCTCTAAATCTATGACCCTATGGGAAATGTGAGGCCTCATTAATACATCTAGGAAGGTAGCTGGGGAGGGAGAGGATGCTAACAGATGTAGGGAAGTCTCACCAAAGCAAAAAGGCCCTGCAGAAACAGACATAGGAGCGAACCCAGAAAGGCAGTCTAATTTAACAATGTTGTCCCCAATGTCCAAGGCAGTGATGCCCTTTCTCCCTAGTTTTTAAACCCAGGTGGCTCATAGTTTGTGCTCTGCAGTGAGCCAGGTTATGGCAAACATCCTCACTTCATTTCATAGAGGGAAAAATGGAGTTGGGAAGAAGTATAAGTGGACTTGGTCACAGGAAAATGTGGATGAGAGCCATGGCATGAGGCTTCGACCAAAGGTCTGTGGGCTGCAGAAAGTAGAGCACACCACTTTCTGCTAAATACTGATACTTTCAGCTCCTGAAGGATTGACAGCTGTGGGCAAGACTTACAGCACGTCCTCCCTGAATTGCCCCATTCTTCCCAAGGCCACTGCACTAAGAGATAGAGGGAGGGAAGAAGAGGCAGTGAGCTCATCTATTAGCTGCTGGATTGGAAGAAAGAAGACTCCTTCCTGCTAGCATCCTCCTGCCTCCTGAGGCAGAAATGGTCAGCTTTCTTTCAGCTCCGAGTTCTCGCCTGGATTGTAGTATCCTAAGGGGTCCAGATACCTCCCCACATCCCAGCTCAGTTGCACCCTGACATTGGCCCTAGCTTGAGGGAAAGTGACTCCAGTTATCTTATCCTGTACCTGCCTGGCATCCAGCAGCTGTTTAATAAATGTTGTTGATCAATTGACTTGGTTGTACCAGTCTCACCCCTTTGCCCCTTCCAGAGAAATTGTCTAGAAATCAGTAGGTTTATGTGGGGGAGGAGAGGAGACTAGGATACCAAGGCCAATGGAGGGAATTCAATGCATGCTTGCTGAATGAATGAATGAATGAATGAATGAATGGGATCTATAGTGGCTAGTTCCTTACTAGTTGTATGACCTTGGGTCATCACTTAACTTCTCTGGGCCTCAGTTTTCCTTGTGTGTCAAGTGAAGGAGTTGTACTAAGTGATCCCTAAGGTCCCTATGGGCATAGAGATCTGTCTTCCAGTGACAGGGAGAGCCCTTTCCATTGTTATCCAGGCCTTGGTGTCAGAAAGTTCTTCCTTGTATTGAACTAAAAGCTGCCTCCCTCCTACTCCCACCCAAAGGTCCGTATTCTCTTCTCTGTAACAGCACAGACCAAGAGGAATCTCTTTTCCACAAAGCCTTTCAGATATCTGAAGATAACCAGCATGTGCCTCCCTCTCAGCGTCTCCCTGGGAAGCTAGGGGATCCCCCAGGCTTTCTCTGTCCCAGCCCAGCAGTCAGAGCAGTCCATTCAGGGGTTGCTGGTCTGCTACCCACTGGACCACTCCATCTGAGGCCAGCATGACAGTCCACAGGCAATGATCCAGCCCCAGGAGATCTTGGAGGAAGGCTTGAGGTCAGCATCCATGGTTAGCCAAGGGATGGTAACTGCTGGTTTCGGACTTTCCCTGTGGATAAATAGTTTAGGGGAGGGGAGGGGAGAAAATACCACCAGACGTTTTGGAAACATGGAAGAGTCCTTTTTAATGCTTACATACGCGTCTTTTTGTTTTCCTCTGGGAATAATAGCAGTCCAACAGAAGCCAAGTTGGCCATGAACATTCACCAAATGAAACCTCAGTGGCATCCCAAAGGCAGCTATGGAGGGTAGATAGGTGGGAGCCCACTAGGGCCACCCTCCAAGGACTTGCTCAACTTGCCCAATGATCTACATTCCCAGAATTCCCTCCTGTGCCTGCCCAGGGACCCTTTGGAACTCCCCATGTTTGTGACCCCTCAAGGATGGAACCAAGTCTGCAGAGAAAAATGTGATCTAATTGAAGCCTGTCTCCCCCCCACACCCTACTAAAAAAAAATGGAGACTTTGAAAATATCAAGCAGATGAATCAGACATTAGCCTAACTACTGACTGAATCACCTGGCCCTGAGTTTCAAAGCTATTTCAATCCCTTTAATCCATGTATTTAGTTAACTTGCGAAAAGAGTTTTATTTGCAGTATTACTCTTTACTAAATACTGAACTTGTATGGCTTCTAACGTTCCCTATCGATCTTTGAGAAGCTGTAGGCGATTGGGAATAAGAGATAAAGTATTTTACAAAAACAAAAACAAACAGAAAATATTTTCTCACTTGGGCTGTGGCCATGGGGGAAAGAGGAAGGTCTCTGAGAGTAGGAAGGAGAGGTCAGAAAAATCAGGAGAAATAGCCTGGGTCTAACCACATGCTCCAACCCCTAATGACTTCTTTTCTCCCCCACATCCTTTGACCTATCCATTGGTTCTCTTGTTTTCTCTTTTCTGTAAACCCAGAAAGCAATGCCTAATTTTTTAAGGTTCAGTGAGAACACCTGTGAAAATCACTGGTTTGCCCAGTGACCTGGCCCAGAGACCTACCTGTTTCAGACTCTCATTGAAGAGTTGTCCCGCCCTGGTGACCAGGGACCATAGTAGCTAGACAAAGGGAAGCCAGTGAAGGACTGTTTTAGTTTGTCCTATTATCTCCCCAAGCTCATTTTAAAAATGTATCAGGGGTGAGTGATGGTGGGTCATCTCAGCTCCCTTGGTCTTCCCAATGTCTCACAATGGGCTATCTCAGAAAGATGAAGAGGGAGGATTTCTGATTTATGAATACCATAATATCCAAAATCATCCACGTGTCATTTCGTGAGAACAGTTAGACTTCTCAAGCTCTTAGCTTGTTCATTTGTTCATTCATTAACATTCATTCACTCATCCATTCATCCATCCATCCATCCATCCATCCATTCATTCATTCATTCATTCAACAAGCATTAATTAAGCACCTACTGGTTGCCCAGCCTTGTGCTTGGTGCTTATCTTTAAGCTGGGTCATTTTTCCTGAGAGCAAGAGTTCATATGTTGCTGTGGGGTGAATGGGCTCAGGACCCCCCAGAGGGTTCCAGATCACATCAACCTCTCAGAACCAAGGACTCTGGGATCAGTTCTCAAAAAGCAATCCTGGTGCCTGCAGCATTCAGAGCATACAGAAAGTATCTGGCTGGCTTTGAAAATTGG